TATATATATATATATATATATAATTTATTAGTATAATTTTTAAAAATTTAATTGACTACAAGGCTACAAAAATTTATCATCAATTAAAGTTATTGATTAAAACAATATAATAAGAACATGTTAAATTCTATTTAAATAAATATTTTAATATAAATAATAAGATTTAAATCCCCCCCTACCCTTAACATTCTACGACTGCGTGATTGGAGCTGTAAAAACTGCTTGTTGTTCATGAACTGCTTGTGTTCGACTCGCTAAGCAAACGAGTCAACTAGGGCAATAAAAATAGCTCGTTGTAAGTGACCAGCGTCTCGCTAAACAAACGAGCAGAATACGAAAAATTGCTTGCGTTCGATATATAAACGCGTCAAACACGAACAGTGGTATTTTTTAACCAGTCGAGCATGGGCTCGCTCAAGCTCGGCTCGTTTACACCTACTCACCTGCAAGCTTCCATCTTGCATCGTTGCTACCATTTTTAATTCTTCTCTTCTTCATGTGTGCTCACTCAGTTCACAATTACTAATCACATTACACAATTGACCAACTTAACACTACTTTTAACTTTCTTAATGCACATCAAGCCTTGACCCTATCTCCTCCTTAAAAGCATATTTGTAAAAATAAATTCTAGCCAACAACTTTTTTGTCCATAATGTTTCGACTCTAGCTATCAAGCTAATGCTAACCATCTCTCACAAATCTGCCTATTCTTTATTGACTCACAACAAATATGATTACTCATTAGAGTTTAATAGCTACTGAATCAAATTCAGACCTAAACATTTCCATATTACATAAAAATTTCCAAATAGTAACAGTTTTAATTCATGAGTTATTGATGAAAGTTACATGATTATATGAATGTCAACAAATTGGCTTGATGAGAAGATAAAAGTGGTTAATGAAATTTAAAGTACACTCCAATTTCCTAGACCCAACTACCTCCTATAATCGCACAACTTCTTCTCCTAGCATGTTTATGCCAAGCGTGATGATGTGATTAAATACGATTGTAAGAATGATGATTCTGTGTTTAAGAAAATGAGCTAGTTTGAACAGAGATTTTTTACAGCTAACATTACTGTAACTAAGTTTGAAGAGTCCAGTATTTATTTTTTTCCACAATTCTTCAAAATGAAGAAACATATGCCATCAAAATTAGATTACTTCAATGTCAAAGTGTTCAGTTTGTGTTACCAATTATTGTACGTCCATGAGACAATACAGTTTTGTATGGCACTAATCAAACAAAGATGTAATAATGCATTGTGACTTTGGGAAACAAAACCTCCATAATTTGCTTCAAGTGTTCTAGACTTTAGATAATTTGAATTATTCATTAAGAAAAAAATTTGAATAAAATTAAAATCAAAATTTAACTTGATTGTATCTTGCAACTTGAAATATAGCTTGTTGGGCCATTGATTAATGAATTAAAATTAAAGCTTCTCATATTATCCCTCATCGCTATTCTCTCTCTACCAATGGGCTCTGGTTCACTTCCCTTCCCTTTTGGCTGCCCTAGTACCACATCAGTTTGTAGGACGGATAGATTCTAAGACAATCATCAACACCCCAGTCCTTCGGACAGTGGCATAATTTGGGCTTGCATGCAACCACTAGAACAAGGGACGGTTGAAAGATAAGAAAAATAAAAATCAACGGCATAGTTCACTAATAAAGGATAAAATATACTCTCTAAGGCTCTGTGCTACGTTTTTCAATGAACACAATTATAATTACAACCAAAGAGCCAAAATTTCACAGTATCCATTCTATGTCAAATTCCACTCAACTGCACTATTAGCACAAAACAACAGCGGAGTCCATTGATGGTAAAACCTGTAATAGGTGAGTTTTGCATGGTCATGGCATGTAATCACTGTGAAATAAGGATTTTTGCTAGACAAGAGACAAAAATATCAGCCACTCGGTAATCATCCTCAAAATCTTCCATCCAAAAGACAATTTCATGCCGCTTTCCGGTAACTTTATGAAGCAAAGAAACCTTCCACTATGATGAGTACAAATAAAATTTTAAGAAAATAACAGTCTCCCTTTCTGCCAACCCCTCTTTTGCTAGGTATGTAGTAAAAAAAGACTGATCTAAATTATTTCACAATGGATTCATTAGTGACTTCAACGGACAAGTTATAGAAAGAGCGGCTAGAAATATGGCGAGTAATCCTAACGGCTATCTTAATATTTACCAGGAAGGAGCTTGTCCCAGCTGAGCATATCCTCAAGTATTTGCTCACATTCCCTAGTATCCTTCAGGAAGCCCTGCTCTGTTGCCTCTTTGATCATTTCATCCCACTTTCGATCATCCATGTTAAAAAATTCATCCTTCATCATCTTCTTCTGGACGTAATCACGCGCATTATAGAGGTCGTCAATCTCCTCATCGGTCTCGTGGAGCTCCTCAAAGTCGGATTCGAACTCGGCGTTCGTGACGTTCTCCAGCGGCACCATCCGGAGCTCGTCCATCAACTCATCATCCGTCTCTTCATGCTTCCTCGAAAGCCCTCGCTTCATGATAGCCTCCATAATCGAAGGAAGTATTTGTTCGTCCCCTTTGAAGTATTGTTCGATAAGGCCATTCAGCTCTGTAAAAATATCAAATGGGGAAAAGAGAATGAGAAGCGTGCTAATCAGAGGAGAAGAAAGGGAGGCAATGTGCGGGTTTACCTTTATTGCTGACATCTTCGAAAGAGAGATCGGCCTTCCTGGAATCGTCTATGGAGGAAGAGGAGGTGGCGAGTTCTGATTCAGCCGCCGCTGATGGCGGGGGGGGGGGGGGGCGGGTTGG